TTGATTTTTGTTCTATTTTCTTTATTACATTAGCTCTAGCGTACAAATGATGGATTATCCTACAGATAGTGGACTCTTACAGCTCCTGTGACAAGTGAAATCTTTAGTATTTTACACTTTAATATGTTTGTTGTTACCTGATTAATGATTTTATCATTTTTAGACAGGTTCTTTTTATTAATATTCCTATTATGTTGAAAAAGCCTACTGAAGGTAATGCAGGAATAATAAAAGATCAACAGCACTAGGTTCTTAAAAACCATAGTGTAGCACCTGAGAGAAGATACCTATCCAAAATATACATCAAGTAAAATAAAATGATTTTTGTACATGAAAAGATTTCCTTAATTGCCTGCATATTCATTGTGAAGCACATTTCTCAAGGACTTCCTATATGAAAATGAAGAATGAAATTATTAGTTGAGCATTACACATACAAATTAGGGGAAAATACCCTTGGTAGTAAATTAATAGAGGATCTACTTTAATCTTTAATGTTCGAAAGAATCTTTTGAGCAATAGGGAGTTGGTGACATAGTTTTTGATGGTCTAATCATAATTCTTAGTTCTGAACTAGATAGTATAGGATTTAAGTAATCCTAGTACGTCAGGTGCTTTTTAACATGAGTTTTGAATTTTTAGAATTAGCAAGAGGGCACAGCTCAGAAGGCTTCATTATAAATATTGAATAGAATATAAATATAATCAATCTTGATATGAAAATGTAAATATAACCCAAACTGAGATGTGGAAGATATGTAAGTAAAATGTGTATGTGTGTAAGAGAAAAAATTCTATTTTTTCTTTTTGCGGAATAAACAGATACTTTCTAAAATTGGTTAACAAAGACATAATATACATTACTTAAAGTTATAATGGCGGCCGGGTGTGGTGGCTCAGGTCTGTAATCCTAGCACTCTGGGAGGCCGAAGTGGATGGATCTTTTGAGCTCAGGAGTTCGAGACCAGCCTGAGCAAGAGCGAGACCCCCGTCTCTACTAAAAATTCGAAGGAAATTACTTGGACAGCTAAAAATATATAGAAAAAATTAGCCGGGCATGGTGGCACATGCCTGTAGTTCCAGCTATTTGGGAGGCTGAGGCAGGAGGATCGCTTGAGCCCAGGAGTTTGAGGTTGCTGTGAGCTAGGATGACGCCACGGCACTCTAGCCTGGGCAACACAGTGAGACTCTGTCTCAAAAAAAAAAAAGTTATAATGGCAACTCTAGCCACTAAAACTGTTTATAAGCTGGAAAGAGAATGTGGTTATATCTGGCTGAGTGGAAGTGGAGATGGTAGGAATGCTTATTTTGGGGGCACTTCTGTAAGACTTGAATTTTTTTGGCATTTAAAGGTTAATTTAAAAATTAAAATGTAGTTTAACTGAAAAAAGCAAGTTATATATAAAAACAGTAAGTGTATAATATATGCTACCTTTTTTGTAAGAATGTATACACTTCTATTCGCATAAAAATTTTTAGAGAAAAGGTTGAAAATGGGGTGAAGAAACCAAAGGAATAAATGAGACTTCTGTGTATACCTGCTATTAAATAAAATTAACCTAAAAAATTCTTTAAAGAGCCAAATGAAAACCTGTTGATTAAAATTTGTGAGTTTGAGTTAATATCTTTTAATTTTATCAAAGAAAATAGTGAACTAAAACTTACTTTTTACCTTTCTATTTAATCGGTAAAATTTGTTTTTAAACTTTAATTTAAATATCAGTTTGGTAGTATAGTGGCCATGATAGTGTTATGATAGGAAATGTTGGAGAAATGGATCTTTTGTGTTTTGATGAATAACATTTTGTTTTACAATTTGGGAAATTAAAAAGTTTGTAATGCATTTAATTTCTTCTTTCTTTTTTTCCCTTTTGGGTCCCTTAACCTTTTCCTCCTCCCTTCCACCCACCCAAATCCTTATGCTCATGGCTTTTGTAATCCAGTGAGGGGTGGGAGAACAGGGAAGATATGTGCTTGACCAGGAGGTCAAGCTCTCAAGTACTGGTGGGGAAGGCCAAGATTTTCCACAGAAAGCAAATTTCAAGAGGTCATTGTAGAAATTGGTATTGAGCTTGATTGTTTGCAGATGTTCTTCATTCTGGGCTTGATGTATTGAGAATTTTTAAAATCATTGAATAACATACATCTTACTCTTCCATTTGTTTCTTTAGATTTATGTTCATTTGCCAAGATCATAGGGTGAAAATTTCAAAAATATTAATTATATGTGTTATTACAACTGTTGATGTTATTGGGGTTTATAATTCTTGGAGAAGTTTAATAAACTTTAGAAGCTTTAGTTGTATTTGAAGGAAAGGACATGTCTGTCACCTGGTAGCTATAGTCTCTATATAAGAGTTGTAAAAGATAAAACAAAGTATTTTTTTCTGTTTGACATAGTCAATTTCTTATTTTGTTATTTATTTAATGCCTATCATCAGTGAGTTCTATAGGTTTAGCTGGTAGTAAGACTTTAGTTGAGGGATATAGGTTTTCTATAGAAAATATCATTTAATCGCTCTGTTAAAATATAGAATTTAATGGTACCAGGAAGCAGATCTGTGTATTCAAAGAGTGTATTTTTAGTTTAATTTAGACTGTATTTTATATTAATTTGATAAACAATTGATTTATTTATTCATGTTCAGTTAGAATTTTGTTTTAAACAACTATATTTGGATTTTTTATTTTTCTTAAATTTCATTAAACAGCTGTAGTAAAGGAAAAGCATGGACTGAGAAAGACTGGGTTTGAATTCTAAACCTACTGCTTACTAGCTCTGGGACTTTGATAAGTTAATTAACCTCTCTGAGCTTTAGTCAAAGTTGAGAAGATTAAATGAAATATTTGAAGGTTAAATGTGCTATATATTGTAATATATACGATGGTATTTAGCATAGTTTTGGCACTTAATAGATGCTTAACAAATGATGTATTATTTTCTACAAACCCAGAATAACAAAATAATATTTTAAAATATTGATTCTGTCTTTCTATACACATTAAAATATTTATTGAAGAAACAACATAAAAAATAAGAAGAATATAACTCACAACTCCTCAATCCTATATTTTTTTAGAGTATAATAGTTTTGAAATGCCATCTCAAAGTGACTGTGGAAATCCCTGAGATCCTTTCTGGAGGTCTGCAAGGTCAGAACTATTTCCATAATAATACAAAGACATTATTTGCCTTTTCTGCTGTATTGAAATTTATCCTGATTATGCCAAAGCAATAGTGGAAAAAACTGTTGGTGCCTTAGCACAGAACAGGGCAGAGGCATCAAACAGCAGTCTCCGTTTGAAAAACAAAATGAAACAAAACTTTCACTTAAGAATGTCCTTAATGAAGCTGTAAAAACTTTTTTTAAAATTAAATTTCAGCCTTTGAGTGCACATTGCTTTAATATTCTGAATGACAAATAGGAAGCATTCATAAAAACACTCTGCTACATACTCAAATACACTGGTGGTCTGGAGGAAAAGCACTCACTGATTACTTGAATTGTGAACTCTACTAGCTGTTTTTTTCATGGAACACCATTTTTACTTGAAAGAACAACTGGCAGACTATGATTATTCAGGTTCTGGCATTTGACAGGTATTCCCTCAAAAATAAACGAAGTGAACTTGTCACTTCAAGAAAAACAGCTGATGGCATTTGTTACCAATTGATAACAATTCAGGCTCTCAGGCAAAAATTAGAATTTTGGAAAATTGTGTCTGCCAGCCTGACCTGACAGTTTCTCAATGCTTGGACTTAACTGATGAGAATGTTGATGATATTAACAAATGTGATTTTAAAATTTTTGATATTCTATAATGAAATGTGACATTTGGAAAAGCTGTAATAAGCTTTACCAGTGAGCACGTATTTTCCAAAAATGTGAGAGATTCATTGAGAGTGCTTGGATTTCAATGTAACAATGTACAAAATGCTCATTTGAAACGGTTTCAGATTCCACATCACAAGGAACCTTTAAGGAATTACTGCTTGTTAAGTTTGGTGACTTATCAAAGAGGAAATCGCAGTTACCTGAAAAGAATATTGAAGCTCTCCTCCCTTTTCCAACAGAGTTTATATGTGAACATGGATTTTCAAGCTTACTTCAACCAAAAAGTGAATCACTTCAGATTGACTGCTAAAGTAGATGTGAGAATCCAATTACCTATTAAGTCAAATATTAAAGAAATCTGCAAAAGTATAAAAGAGTTATTCTTCTCATTAAATTTTGTTTTGATTTTGAAAATTACTATTTTTCATTAACTGTTATGTATGTTAACATGCAATGGCTTTATTATTTTTTAAATGATTCTAAATAAATATTTTAAAGTTTTCTCAGTTTTAATCCCAACGTGGTAAATATAAATATAACTCACATAAACAAAGGCCCTTTGAGGTCTTCAGGAATTTTTAAGAATGTAAAGGAATCCTGAGTCCAGAAGTTAGAGGAGTGCTGCTCATTTCCTTTTTCCCTTCTAGCTGTTGTTCATATGAGTAATTAATTTTTTGTTAAAATGATTGTAAATCATAATGTTATTAATCCTGTTATTAATACAGTTACATGTAAGTTGGTATAAACTCAATAATATTAAAAAGGCAAAGCTCTCTTTAGATGGAAACATCTTTGGATTTTCCTGAAATTAAGTAAAAGGGCTAGGTTTAACTGAAGCATATTGTTGAAAATTTCTTCTTTGAGATGTACATACACTCACACACCCATCCACCTATATTCTTGGAGTATGCTGTCTTTTGTACTAACATTGTAGAAAGGTTTCAGTTAAAAACTAGTTGCTGCTTTCCTCTTTTGGTACTTTCACTTATAACTAAATGTATATATTACTTTCCAAATCTGTTATGCTGTGACCCTGTGTAAATTGTAGTTATTAGCTTGGAAGATTAGGTAACTTAGAAGGCAGTGATTGGCTGTACCATAAAAGTAACTTAGAAGAGTTCATCCCTGCAAAGCACAGTGACCTAAATCAGATATGTACTCACTGTCCCTGGAATCTTCAAGGGACTTACTGCATTACATTATCAAAAACAAGGCATTTCTATATTACTATGGAAAGATTTCGTCCGGAGAAGAAGTTACCTGTATGTACCTAGTTAAGATCTTGTATTTTACTTAGAAACAGATTTGAATCTTTCAAAGTTTAATAGTAGTGAAGCTTGAAGAAATGTCAGGCTTATTAGCACTGGCTTAGAATAGTATCATCCTCTGTGTCCTTGGCTGTGGAAGTCATCTGCTGAAGAGTAAATCCTCGTGTAAAGTTAGAAATGTTTGTAGCATCTTTATTCTTCTATAAAATTAGTTCTTTGGTTAGTTAATATTACCTGAATGAGGCTTTAAAAATTATTTGGTTAAGATATTAGGAAAGAAATCATTTTACCTTAATGGTTAAGTATGTTTTCAAGCTAAACCAAAGTGTTAGATAACTGTGAAATTACTCTACATGGTTAATAATCATAATTTATGGAAGATGTTACTTTTGGGCTATAGCCATATGTCTGTCTTAAATAATGGAAAATTTAATTTGTGATAGGGATCCCCGATGGCTATTTTAGTAGATTTTGTAAACCTCGGGTGTCAAAAAGCATATTAGACTAGGTTTATGGTATATTTTAAAATAATCTTTTAATAATTCTTCCCCCCTAATACTAAGCCTTTGGTGTGTTAGGTATCATCTTTGATAATTTGACCAAGAAAAATATAAATTGTGGATTTTGCTTTTTCAGGCAAGATAAATGACTATGAGAGGAATTAGTAAAATATGAAATTATGAAATCTGTTTCTAGCAAAACTAGATTTGATTGATTTTGCTGGGATTCCCATTTGTGAATTGAATTTTGATATTGTCTTGTGTTGCTGGGCTTTTTTGTTTATACAGTGGTTTACTAAATTTCAAAATATTGAGAACTGTCTGTGTTAGAGCTTGAATTGTATTCAAAAGGAGTATTTACATGGATCCAGCATAAATTTTTAGCAGTGTCTTGTCCTTTGTAACATACTGAACATTCAACAAGTATGTATTAGAGAATTTACCAAGGTGCTAGGTACTGCTTCATGCTGGAAAATACAGTGGTGAGCAAAATAGACCCGATTCCTCCTTTTTTTGAATTTATTTTTCAGCCTAGGGGACAGCTAAGCAATTAGTTACAGAAATAAGTAATTACAAGTTAATAAATACTGTAAAGAAAAAGTACTGTATGTTCTTAGCATGTATTACAGTGACCTTGTTCTGTACTCTAGAGGCTAAAGAACCCACGTAACCAATACTCTAGAGACCTGGCTTTCAATTTTAATTCTTTAACTAACAGTGTGATCTTAAGCAAGTCACTTAAGCTTTGTGTATATCTTTTTTTCTTAGTCTAAAAAATGAGAAAATTGAACTGGAAAAGTATAGCCGATTCCATATCTATGAGTCTGTGAGGTCTTATTTATTCATTAGGAATGGAAAAGGTTTTTCCATTTACCTCTGGATTTCTTATCATGGGGAGTCACATCTTAGCTGTAAATTAACTGATAAGCTGCACATTTGACTATATTATAGTTTTTATTCACCAACATATCCCCAGTATGTGGAATAATGCTCAGTACCTAGTATGCACTTAGCAAATATTTGTTGAACGAATGGATGAGTTCCTTACTTCCTAGTACTTAAGGAAATAGACTTCTTTCATGATCCTTTTCATGATCCTTAGGATTCCTGGGGGAACAGGGGTATTATTCAGGATAAGAATAGACAAACTATATTGTTGAGGAAGTTCTCACTCTCTCCTGTTGGGTTACACTGGAAAATGTAGTGGAACCTTAAAAATACCCAGCTAATGATAATCTCATGCTGACTGATGACGGGGGATCTTCTTTTTTGCTGAGAAACACTGGATCTTTGTCCTTCCCACCCCTTGTGAGTTGTTGGTGCTGTTCTATACATTTTAATTATTAATAGGTAGTTATGAAAACAACCACTTATTGTGGATATGTGGGTGTGAGTGCTGACTTAGAACTTGGAATGAGTGCATCTCCTCGTAGAAATAGTGCTATTAATATTTACGTTTTATAATTTAAAGTAGAACCTTGATGAATCTTGCCATTTGTCTGTGACTCTTGTACCTGGTAACTAAACATTTGACAAGAGCTAACCCAAATCCACTTAGTTACTGGAGGCTATTACCTGCCAGTTTTAATGCTCACACCTCTTTGAGTTCCCTTGCTCTTTCTTTCTTCAGTTTTTTTCATATCCCCCACACTTCGAAACGTTTTCTTCAAATTCAAATTGTCTTTGTTTCCAGTCATGGTATTTGAAATAAAAATTTCTGAAGCTTTTGTTCCAGTGTCTGAATCTATCTAGTTCTTCCTCTTTGTCTGGGGACAAAGCATTTTTCCTAAGGCTGTTTTTTTTTTTTCTGTGGGAATCACAATTGCCAGAGTTTAATATTTGTTATATAACTTTCCTGTTTACCTTTATTATTCTTTCCTGCTCATTTTAGAGTAATGAATGGATCAAAAAATGCCTAGGGAGTTCTTTAGAAACTGCGTATAATTTTTTTTGGCTTTCATTTCATGCAACAGTCACTGATGATTGCTTCCTTTAACTGGATTAGAAATATTTTTAAGATCAGATTAAGATTTTAAGAATTTTGTCCATAAATTTCAAGCTTTCTAATATTTAAGTTCAGCTCTTGCTGATGGGTGAGGATAAGGTTTGGGGTTGTTTTGAGGAAAATTGTGGTTTCTTTGGGACAACATTGTTATTTAAATACACTTTGATGATTGTCCTAGGCATTTTGGAGAAAATATTCTGACATAGAAATAATTGTTAGGATACTCTTTATAGATTTAAAGTTGCTTGTGTTACAATAAAAGTTTATAGTAACTTACAGTGCTTTCTTGTGAACTGGAAGGAACATTTCATTTTCTTAAGGATTAAAACAATGTAAATGAAGCGAGAATGGTCCCAAGAAAGGCTACTAAAATTATTAAGGGCATAAAAATTTCTTTTGAAAACCTATTTGAAGAAATGACTCCTCTAACTTAATCCAAGTACATGGAATTCAAATTTTGATGTGCACCAGAATCATACAGAGAAGTTCTTAAAAATACAAATGCTTGGGTTCTATCTGTGGCATAGGGCAAGGGAAGCTGAATTTTAACAAGTTCTCTTAGTGTGTCTGAATTTATAATATACTTAAAATCTAAAAATCTGGTAACATAGTACATTGTAGATCTATATGAAAGTTAGTTACACTGTCTTGGTATTTTAACCCTAGATACTTATGTATGCATTTCCTAAGAATAATTCTCCTATACAGCCATAATACTATTTTAGGATACATTTTAAATCTTATTCTTTATATGAATTTTAATTAGGAAATTAATAGTTATTTGTTTCAGTTACTGTTAAGACTTCTCTAATTAACCTAGTTTTAAATCTGTATCGTAGATGAGAAAATACTCTGATAGGAAAATTGAATAGTGTATTCTTCTTATTTGGATTGAGTGAAAATGTGGGCATCTTCTGTGGGTTTTGCATTTGTACTTGGAACTTTTCACTTGGTATCTTGTCCCACAACTCTTTAAATTTATAGACTATGCTGTTTGTAGATGAGAACCAAGATTGATAGGTGAAGTGGCTTTCAAAAACTTTCATACTTAAATTTATCTCTGTATTCACATAGTTAAGATATATCAAAGCAATGTAACAAATAATAAATCAAGACATCTACCTCTATTGTTATATGTAACTTTGTTTTACATAACAGTTTTACTATTTTATTATATACCCTTCTAGTGTTTCATGCAAATTCAAATACTCCTGTTCTAGGGACTTTCTTACACAAAAGGTAGCATACTATATATGTGGTTCTACCTTGTATGTCTTTCATTTGATAAGAGGTCTTAGACATTTTTCTGGCCAATATGTAGAGAGTGTCCTCATTTTTTTTTTTCCAGTAGTAGCTTATATTCCACTGGCTCATGTGCCATAGTTTACTTAGCTATTTCTCTATTAAGGAACCCTTGGGTTGTTTCCAGTCTTTTCCTATTACAAGTAATGCTGCACTAAATAACCTTATACATGTGTCATTTCATATGTAGAGAATTCAATTTTTCTTTATGATTTTATATGGATAATTTTTAATTCTGTTGTTTTCTATCTTATAGTATAGTAGTAGTATGAATAATTAACTTACTTTATAAATAAAAATATGAAACCAAGGCTAAATAATTCCCTTAAGATTAGAATGGGTCAATCCTGTATTAATAATTTGAATGTCTTTGTGTGTTTGAGCTTTCCTAGGGCTATGACTTTACTTCTTTTTAGGTAGGCTCTATAAGCAGTGTCCTATGTGGCTCACCCATCTGAGGTTAAGAACAAAAACATTTTGATGTCAGAGGTTGCCCTTTGCCATTGATATTTTTAGTTTTCCACTATATTCTTGGAGGTAATTCTCAGGGATTTTCAGGATATAGCTATATGTATACATTGTTGCATTACTTATCATGTATTAAGATGGCCAGTTTGTGTGGCCTACTTAATATTTGCATGTATAGCAGATTCTGCCTTCTTATTTTTTTCCATGCCTTCCTTATTCATGTTTCACAGTTGTCGAAAAGCTAGGTAATGTATTTAAGGGAAGGGAGAAATGGAGGTTTACCCTGCCCCACCTCCCTTTTATTACAGTGCTAGTGCTATATACATTTCTATAGACTTTAAACATTTTAACTTTTGTTTGTTATGCAAGTTACACATGAAAACTTTTTCATTGAAAACCAAAACAATAATAATAAAACAGTATTCTTACTTGACTTTCATTCAAACCCAGTTCCCTTTCTAGAAGCGAGAAGCTAACAATTTGGTGCAGATCCTATCAGACTTTTTCTTGCTTTTTACTTAATATAAATAAATACATGTGGAAATGTGTAAATATGGAAATAAAATTTTGGTTTAGTCGTGTAAGTATTTTTAACATAAATGTGATCTTATTTTACTTCCTACGATCTGCTTTCTCGCTACACAATATATCCCTGAGATCTTTTCTTAGCACATTTAGATCTACTTCCATGTTTTGAGTCTCTTTGCAAACTGTTTCATAGCACTCTTTAGTATGAGATTGCTATCTTACTACTGACACACATTTTTGTTTGATATTTTTTCATTATTAGAAACAATGCCTCAATGAAAATGAAGGTTCAGAGAAGTTGAATGACTTGCTCAAAGCTTCACAGATAGTCCAGTGGGAGCAGGCTGGGTAGACCATGAGATACGCCAACAGACAACCTTTTTTTATATGTCACTTTTTGCACGTTTGGGAGTATTTTTCTGTGATAGATATTTAGATGTCAAAGAGTATTGTATTTTAAATAAATATAATAAATATAGTAATAAATAAAAAATGAATATAATAATATTGCGAGGTTGCATAAGAAGCTATTTTTGAGTGTTAGCTGATTAGTGTTAGTATATCTAAACATGTAAACATAGCTGAATAGACATAAATTTTTGTCTGTTTGAAGGTGAGAGTTAAGTGAATTGTTTTGCTTCATATCCTGGCAATTGTGCAGGCTAAATGAAAGTTTGGAATGTGAGCAGTTAATCCTGTTTTAGAATAGAAAGGATGCTATCTCTCAGGATACAACTTCTGTATTTTCTACTTAGGAGAGAGGTTGTCTTCTGTACCTGTGCATGCTCAGGGACTAAATGACATGAAGTCATTAGAGGATAGCTAAAGATTTTAGAACGTGACTTGGTCAATGGATGGTATTTATTCTTCTACATTTTTGATGTTTGGTTTGGTTTCTTTCTTAGGTCTTTCCTTATTACTAAGGAAATGAGAATGTTATGTGGCAATTTGATTAACCATACATATCATTCATTGCCTGTCTTCTTAGTTAATTAAATGAAATTGTCTCATGATCTACACAGCTTGCTTCCACTCCTTTAAATATGGAGCCTTAGAAAGTCTTTTAACTTACTTTGAGTTTCCTATATTAAGTTGGACACCAGTCATTCAGAGTCATATACAAGTATCTCTTGGTCCAAATCTGTTTGATTTTACAGTTTGGATATCTAATGTTTAGAAAGTAAGTTTCAAGGCCGGGCGCGGTGGCTCACGCCTGTAATCCTAGCACTTTGGGAGGCCGAGGCGGGCGGATTGTTTGAGCTCAGGAGTTCCAAACCAGCTTGAGCAAGAGCGAGACCCCGTCTCTACTAAAAATAGAAAGAAATTAATCGGACAACTAAAAATATATAGAAAAAATTAGCCGGGCATGGTGGTGCACGCCTGTAGTCCCAGCTACTTGGGAGGCTGAGGCAGAAGGATCGCTTGAGCCCAGGAGTTTGAGGTTGCTGTGAGCTAGGCTGACGCCACGGCACTCACTCTAGCCAGGGCAACAGAGTGAGACTCTGTCTCAAAAAAAAAAAAAAAAGAAAGTAAGTTTCGATATCAAAAGATTTGCATTTTCTTAATGTGCTGTGTCTGGATCTGAGTTTTGGGTAGCAATTAGTGGTAGTTTGGATATCAAGGACTTTATTTCAAAATTTAATCAAATTGATTCAGTTCTTGTGTTTAGATAGGGAAAATTTAGACACTGAGAATTTGGATAGTGAGGAACAATTGTATATGAATTTGCTTTGTATACCTCAAGAAAAAGCTTAGAGTTGCATGGCCAGCACTGGTGAAGATTGGTGAGGCTGATGGTTTCCTTCCTGTGCTGGGAACAGGTACAGAGTGAGCTGCAGCTGGTCTGGCTAGAACCTAGGACTAGATTGAAGAGTTTTTGAGGGAAGGGCATTTGTTCATCCATCTCTATCAGTGGCACAGAATCTTGTACCCAATAAATTCATAATAAGTAGTTTATGATTATAATATTCCTTTGAAAGTTATTGGAAGTCAAGAAGGAAAGTTAAAGCTAAAATTTTATTCTTTTCAAAATAGTCTATGCAATATTTTGTAATAAATATATTTAGTCTTTGTTGAGTTGATGAAGGGAACAAAATCATGAAGGTGGGATTTTGACAACTGAAAGCTAGAATTTCTCTACAGGTTAAATTTGGCGTGGTTTTACTTTATGGGGAAATAAAAAGTTTTTATAAGTTCTGTTGTGAAAGTTAACTTGTCAGTGTAAGTGGTACTGCATATTGAGTCTACCCATTTTTAACAATTTTATGTTTAACCATAATCCAATCCAATATAGCTGAGTTAAATGTTTCTCTTTAATTAGAGGACCTAAGAGCAAAAATCAAGAAATAAAACATTCCATATTGACACCTAAGGGTTCCCCTGACATCAGATTTTCTTTAATTTCTGATCCTAGAAGGTCTTTCTGTTAAGGATGAAGTGAATGTATTATTAGTAATTTGCACAGAATACCATTTAAAAATCTTTGTCATCTCAGTTCTTACTGTGGGATTTTTGAATGGTCTTCTGTGGATTAAAAAGAAAAGCCTATAAACATATTTTAAAAATAATGCATTTAGCTATAATAAGAATTCAGTTCTTTGAGAGAAGGCAGTCAGTTAATATATTTTTTGGCCATTTCAAATAATGCACATAGTAGATCCTCAGTATATTTTGATCTCATGAGTAAGCGAGAATAATTTGTTTTTAGGGTCCTGATGAAGAAGCTATTGTGGATCTTGGCAAAACCAGCTCAACTGTGAACACCAAGTTTGAAAAAGAAGAACTAGAAAGTAAGTTTGTAACTTATGATGCTTAGTAGGGTAAATAATGTCTGTTAGTGTTCTTCAAGTTTTATCTACTGTTTGTTAAACATTTTTTATTGTTGTGAAATAACATTGAGAAGAGTGCTCAACACTTTTCTGAATATAGTTTAAAGAATAATAGTGTAGCAAACATTCTTATAACCACACCCATATCTAGAAATGGAACATTTCCCTCTTTATTGAAAGTATTGGCATAAAATAGAGTTTAGAATGCTTTTCAAACTTTAGTTATGGTTACCATTACTTAACTTGGAAAACTTAAAGCCACAGTTACAAAATTAGTAAATTCTTTTTATTTTTTTATTTCTAGCAGGCTGGATAATTTGTAAGATAAGCATACTAGAGTGCCAGACTAATAAGCTACAGTTATCATTAGTTGTCATCTAAATGTTCATTTTATAGATCTGTTACATCATCCTTTTAAAATGCTGCAGTAAACTCAGCATAGAATTATGGAACAAATGAATTATTTGTCTATCTTCCTTAAGTGGGAAGAAGTTCTAACAAATGGTTTATTTTTTTCTTTTTCTTTTGAAATAATTTTAGATTTACAGAATTTTTTAAAGATAGTACAAAGTGTTCCTGTATACACTTTTCCGGGGTTCTTCTAATGTTAACATTTTACATAGCTATCATATATTTGTGAAAATGAAGAAATTAACATTCGTAATTACTAATTTAATTAGAATTTGGTTAGTTACTACTATACTATTAACCAAACCATAGATTTTATTCAGAATTCCCCAGTTTTTCTACTGTTGGCCTTTTTGTGTTCCAGGATTCAGATGATCCAGTTCAGGATCTGAAAGTACATTTAGTGTCTTGTGTCCTTAGCCTCTTCTAACCTACACCAATTTCTCATTCTTTCTTTGTCTTTCATGACTTTGATACTTTTGGATAGTAGTGGTTAGATATTTTGTACAATGTTTCTCAGTTTGGGTTTGTCTGGTGTTATCACTTGAATGGGCTGAGATTATGGATATTTGGGAAGCATACCACCGAAGTACCATGCCTTTCTCAGTGCATCCTACCTCTGTTCATATAATATCAACATGACTTACTATTGATGATGTTAACCTTGAACACTTTGTTAGGGTGGGTTCATGGTAAATGTTTTGATAGACTACATCCTTAAGTTAAAATCTTCTGTGAGAGCTAGTACCATATTGGACTATTAATCTGTTGCTTTCAAGAGAGAGGTTGAAAGAGACACAAATAAGAGTTCTCCTCACTTACAGTCTGAGATTTTTTTTTTTTAACTGACTTTAAAAATTGACTTTAAAAGTCTAGGCTTAACTAGGGCAACTACAAAGAACCTAAGTTATCTAGAAGCTTGTGGTTAGATCCTATGATTTACAGGAGCTAGGGAGGTTAAAATTTTTAACAATTTTACTAATTCAAGAGTCCAGTAATACTTTTATTCCATTACTTACCATTTAAAGTCAACCCTCAAATATATGTGACCTGGAATATGAAGGGAGAGGTGCTTGACTATGTTCCTTGACTTCCCTTGGTTACTCCAGAGCTCTTAGATCTGCATACTTCGTACATGTTTAAGTTTTAGTATCAAGTTTGAGGGAGAGATTACATTTGTTTCAGAGAGTGAGTGAATAGGCCTTTGATAGATTAAAGTAAAGATAAAAGAAAGAGAAAAGAAAAAATTATAACACAGGACACTGAAGGCAACAATAAAAGCAGAAAAACCAGAAGGTTCAATCTCCTAATCTTTGGATTCTGGTGTATTCTTATTTATCTAGTCTTTCTAAACCGCAAACTCATAGAATTTATTTTTATCTTATTGTACTGGGGCTTGTTGTGCCAAGGCTCATTAGTACTAATTGGAGTAACAACTTTGTAATTCCCAGTGCACAGTGGTGGGAATTTGACTCTTTAATTCCCACTTTTCTTGGTGTTCAGAAGGAAATAGTTTCACTGAAAGAAAATTGTAAAATCACGAGTTTTGTTATAGTTTTAAAAAAAATTTTAATTGAGATAATTTACATAACATAAAATTCACCATTTAAAAGTGTATAATTCATTTTTTTTTTAGTATATTCACTATGTTGGGCAGCCATCACCACTCTAATTCCCGAAACATTTTTATCATCCCCCAAAGAAACCCTGTATAATTAGTTTTTAAATTTGGAATTTTTTCCCAATAATTGAAATTTAATTTTTATAGATATTCATTCACACTTACCATGTGCTAGGCAGAGTACTGGGTACTGGGAGATATTTAAACAGATAATTTTAGTTCAGTGTGTTTCCTTAAGTCTAGCCCTCTTTAATTTAAAAAGGTGATTATTTACTTTATTGACATCAATATATTGCCAGCTGAAGCAAGATGTCAGAGTGTTACCTTTTTCAGCCTTAGCTGAGAGCATGAGTATCAGATAACTCTAATTTTTTTTGTTGCTCTGTTCATGTCTACAAATGACTGCAAAATAATCATGAGTATTGATTTTGGTTTGAACAGGTAAATTTACTAAGTCAGCAACTTTGCAAATATGGACTACACGAAAATGAGGCTCAACTGTATTTTCACATCTCGTCTAAGGGTGAAGATCTTGAGTTTCTTGAAGTATTTATTTTCTGACCATCTTATGGAATTTGTTAGGAAAAGAATGTGATTAGCTGTTCATATTTCAGCATATTATTTTTTATTGTGTACATAAGGGCAAAAAGCAACTTTATGCCAGGTGATTTTTGTGTAGATGCAAATTAGTTGACCTTATGGTCCATGTCCTTCTTAACTCAACTTAGATAGGAACCTCGTTTAAATGATTTAAGAAATCAAGTTCATGCCTCTCAATATTTGCCATAACGCTGCTAGCTCTCTAGTTCCCTGATTCAGTTTCATTTAGTGGGCAAGAGCGGAGACTGCCTTTCATAACTGTCTTGTTGTTGTAATACAAAGTTAGGATAATGCAATATCGGCAGTAGCTTTTTCTAGTCTAAAAGCATACAATAATTTTACTGCTTTTTTAGTCCAATCTGGCAGTTTCTACACTTTATTTGGATTATTTATATTTAATGTAGCCTTCAGTAATTTGGAAATTGCTGTTTTGAGGTTTTCAAAACTCTAAAAAATTAGTAAATAAGTATTTGCAAATGATTTCAGGTGGACCAAGCTCTTCTTCCTCAAAATATCGTTTTCAGATATGCAAATTAATGCTTACATAAGTAACCTGTATATCTAGTGTAATTTTTTTCTTTTTTCAAGATAGAGTCTCACTGGTTGCCTGGGCTAGAATGCCTGCGATGGTGTCAGCCTAACTCACAGCAACCTCAAACTCGTGGACTCCAGCCATCCTCCTGCCTCAGCCTCCCTGGTAGCAGGGACTAGAGGCATGAGCCACCACACCCAGCTGATTTTTTTCCCCCTATTTTTAGTAGAGACGGAGTCTCGCTCTTACTCAGGCTGGTCTGGAACTCCTGACATCAAGTGATCCTCCTGCCTTGGCCTCCCAGAGTGCTAGGATTACAGGCGTGAGCCTGCCATATTTAGCGTAATTATCAGTCAATGGTATTAGCCCTTGGCATAACATTCTGTGTAGTGCTTTTTAAAATAAGAGGAATTACTACCATTGTTAATTACGTGAACTTATATATAATTCTTTGTTATCTCAGTAAACTTTGGTGTACTTTTGTGTACTGTCACTGTTTTCCCCTTTTGGAAAACCAGTAATATGTTTCCAAACCTTTCAATAGGTCATCGAGCTGTATATATTGGTGTTCATGTCCCATTTAGTAAAGAGAGTCGTCGGCGTCATAGGCATCGTGGGCACAAACATCACCACCGGAGAAGAAAAGATAAAGAATCAGATAAAGAAGATGGACGAGAATCTCCTTCTTATGGTAAGGGAAAACAGTAGTTCTCCATTAGCAGTTTAAGCTTCTTTCCTGGAAAGTATCTTATTTTTTTAATTGAATCTTTCCTTTTAAAAATTATATGTGTGTGGTAATTTAGATACATTGTATACATTGGGGACTACGAGGTGAAGTAAGAATCTTTTTTTTAAGAAAAATATTTAGTGTATAGGTTAAGTTCTTCTTGATTTAAGTGAAAAAAATAAGGGGCTTTGTTTTCTTCATTGTATTCCAGCCTTGGAATTGTAGAAGTTGAGCCTTGTCACTTAAGGTCAAATTTAGTAGGGTTTTATTTTCTTTTCTGTGCCATAAATTTTATTACTAATGTATGCAATGAATAGAAGTTAGGAATCCTAAGGCTTTCAGAAGGAATTGGAGTTTTTTTTTTTTTTTTTTTTCCTTTTTACACTACATTTTTTGGCCAGAAGATTTTAACCACTAGGCTGGATTACTTGGTTTTCTGTGCAAAAGAGAGTGCTCTGATTTGGTAGTACTGTCTGGATAGACGTACAGGGTTTTCTTTTCTTTGTTATTGAAAGCAGAGAAGTATTCAAGTGCCAGTAGAAGTCAGAAAGAAAAAAGGCACATAGTTGAGAAAAGAGAATGTTATCTGATAATAAGCATTGATAGCAGTGATTTAAGTGGCCCTGAGAGTGGGAAAGGAGAGAGCCAAAAACAAAAAAAAGGGGGGGGAAAAGGCTGTGCAGCCTGAGGAGGAGTCTTAGACATTACCCTTAGTTAGCATACAGCACATCATTAGTTTAAGGCCACCTGTACACCATGGGTCTTGGGCACTTGTGTATTATGCTAGAAGAAAGTTTTTGTGAAAAGACAAGGAAAGAAAAAATTACTTTGTATAATACATTTACAACATGAACATAAGAAAGAAAATACTGATAGCCTAGTAAAATATAAAGTGCCAATTCTATGCTAAACATTACCTTGTCAAGCCCTTGGCACAGGATCTTTTATTTAATCATCTCAGGTTTGTTTGTTTGTTTTTTTTTCTTTAAAGACATGGTCTCGCTCTGTTGCCTATGCTTGATTGCGGTGGCGTCATCATAGCTCACTGTAACCTCAAACTCCCAGGCTCAAGCGTTCCTCACGCGTCAGCCTCCTGAATAGCTGGAACTATAGGCACATGCCACGATTTCTGGCTAGTTTTTCTATTATTTGTAGAGACGGGGTTTTGCTGTGTTGCTCAGCCTGGTCTTGAACTCCTGGTCTCAAGCAATCCTCCTTCGCCTCCTAAAGTGCTAGGACTATAAGCGTCAGCCACCATAGCTGGCCCATCTCAGCATTTCTAAAAGATAGGTATTATTATATTCATTTTATAGATTAGGAAACTTGAGCTCTGAGAGGCTACATGATGGGAATTTCTTAAGAACCTCTGCTAAGAGACGCTGACTGATGGCCTATTAAATTATTAAGTGGTCATGTAGCCAACAAAGGTCATGTAGGTAGCAAAGGGAAAATGAACAATGAATTTAGAAAGAATCACTAGTAAACTTTTTGGGATGATATTAAGTTACTTCGATGTATTTTGCTATTTTGTATGTTGCACTCATCTAGTTTAGGATATCCTAGGCTCTTCTGTGATTGGATCAGTATGCTTCTCTAATTCATACTGTAGAAAGAGGCACACGATATTTTTGTGGATGAAAATGTTTATTAAACTATGTATGATCACCTAGGTAGGTGATGTGCTGTTTTAAGTTTGCATGTGTGATTAGATGCCTAAGTATAGTGGGTTGAAAAATAAATTATGATGAAGAAAATATTTGACTTATTAATAAAATCACTATCCCTAGAAAAAATTTATGTCCCTGAATGGATTTATTTTGGTTTTAATTACCAATTTATTTCCTAGAAAGTCCTATGTATGAGGTCCCTTTCCTCTCCTTGCACTAAAAAGAGATTACACAGGATGTTTGCTTCTAGACATTATGGAATAAGAGGGATTAAATTTTCCCTCCATTATATTTTTTTAACTGATTTATTTTTATTTTTTCCCACTGGTTCTTCTCCCCTCCGCCCAACCTTTATTGAGGTATAATTAACAAGTGCAAATTATATTCATTAATATTTAAGGTGTACAGCATGATGATATGATGTATGTATACATTATGAAATGATTACCACAATGAAGTTAATTAACACATCCATCACCTTACATAATTGCCCTTTTTATGTGTAGTGAGAACACTTAAGTTCTACTTTTTAGCAAATTTCAAGTGTACAATACAATATTATTAACTATAGTTATCATGTTATACATTAGATCCCCAGAGTTTATTCATCTTATAACTGAAAGTTTATAACTACCCTGCCATTTCAAATAGCTAGAAAACTGGATAAAATATATGAAACAATAGTTTTCAGGCATTGCATAAAAGGCAGCACAGGACTTTGATTTCTGAGAGAGGAGAAGCAAGTAAGATAAATCCTTTGATTGCCTGAGCTTTCTAGAGACTGTTTCTAGGCCACAGCACAGGGAGGGGAACCCAAAGAGAGCCTTGCAGACTCTCAGAGTTGAGGAGGTACAGATTAGAATTTGGGAAGGCCAGAGCGGCTAGGATTTGAGGTGTGGAGTGCTAGAGGGTTCCAAAGATCTGAAGAAGGATCCTTTGAGTCTTTGGCTGAATCCTGGTATGGGGAGGTGAGAGGAAGCTACCTGGGCTTGGGAAATAACTACCAGAAAGTATAATACTTCACATAAGACAAGGAATGGTATGTGTTCCCATCAGTCATGGTGGAAAGACTTTGGCATATAAAGGGCATTAAGGGCATTGGGTAGAGTTCTCAGAAGGGTATTGCCTTAGTACTGAGTCTAGGTAAGTTTTACATTAAAGACTACAGTGAATCTGCTCTAAAAATTTTTAAAAGCAGGACTTAAAAGATTTAAATTGATTATGTGTAACTGCATACTAGAACAAATTAACAAAAGACAATAAGGATATAGAAGAACTGAAAAACATTGCCAACCAGATATATTTTTACATTTATAGAACACTCCAATCAAAGGACTGCAGAGTATACATTCTTGACAAGTGCAAATGAACATTTACCAAGATAAATCATAGTCTAGACCATAAAACAAATCTAAGTAAGTTCAAAAGGAGTGAAAGTATGCTCTCTGGTCACAAAGAGAATTAAATTAGAAACATATCAGGAAAAATCCCCAGATATTTGGAAATTAAAGAGATATTTCTTAATAATTATGGGTTAAAGAAGCAGTCACAACAGAAATTAGAAAATTTAAACTCATTGAAAATGAAAACAGTACAGGCAAGTAACTAAGATAGACTCTTAAAAAAGCAAGGACACAGTTCTGATATGCACAGGTTTTATTTAGCATGGTACTGTGCAAAATGAGGACTGCCTACATATTGAAATTTGTTAGATGTAGCTAAAGCAGTGCTTAGAGGAAAATTTAAAGCATTTAATCCTTATATTAGAATAGGAGAAAGATCGAAAACCAGTGATTTAAGCTTCTAACTTAAGACAATAATGGGGAAAAAAAGCAAATTAAACCCAAAGTAAGGAGAAGAAAGGAAACAAAATCAAAACAGAAACGAATAAAAAAAAATCAGAAAAACAATTGTAAAAATCAATCAGACCGAAATACGGTTCTTTGAAAAGATTATTAAAATTGATGTCTATAGCCAGATGGATGGAGGGATAAAAACTCCACAAATTACCAGTGTTTGATATTTTTCAGTACAGATCCTACAGACATTAAAAGGCTAATAAGGTAATATTATGAATGGCTTTATGCCAACAAAATCGATAACTTAGATGAAATGGGCAAGGTCCTTTATAAACTACCAAGCAGAAATATATTAAATAGAATTTGTAGTCTAAAACATTCTCACGATGAAAATTTACTCTCAGATGGTGTCATGGATGAATTCAAACAAACGTGTAAGGAAGAAACAGAAAATTTAATAGGGAACGCTTCCCAATTCATTTTATCAGTCTTGTATTACCCTGATACTAAAACTAGACAGAGATGTTACAGATAAATAAAACTACAGACAAATATTCTTGTGACTGTAAATTCAAAAATCCTTAACAAAATAAAGACAGATTTTATCCAGCAATATTTAAAAGGGATAATACAGCATGACAGTGATAGGCTGAGTAACGGCTCCCAAGGTGGTCATGTCCTAATGTCTTGAACCTGTGAATGTTACCTTATATGGCAAAAAGGACTTTGCAGATGTGATTAAGTTAATGATTTTGAAATGGGGATATTATCCTGGATTACCTAGGTAGAAATGATAATCACAGGAGTCCTTACTAAAAGTAGGGAAGATCAGACTGGAAATAGGTGTGCAAAAGAGACAAGTGGCTACAGTGAAGTGAGGACAGGGTTGTGATCCAGGGAAGCAGGCAGCCTTCAGAAGCTAGAAAAAGGAATGAATTTTCTCCTAGAGCCATCAGAAGGAACCAGCCCTGCCAACACCGTGATTTTAGCCCTGTAAGACTCATTTTGGACTTCTGGTATCTAGAACTATAAGAGAATAAATTTGTGTTGTTTAAACCACCAAGTGTATGGTAATTTGTTACAATAAAAATAGGAAACTGATAACCAAGAGGGAATGTAAGGTTGGTTTAAAATTTAAACATTTATCAATATAAATGAACAGCCACATTAACAGCATAAAGGAGAAAAGCAATAAAATTATCTAAACAGGTCAAAAAAAAAGCTTTTAACAAAATTCAACCCTCATTCATGATAAAACTCTTGACAAACTAGGAATAGAGGGAAACCTCCTCAACCTGATAAAGGGCATCTACAAAGAAACCCCTACAGTCAACGTTGCTTTTAATGATAAAAGACTGAATGCTTTTTCTCTCTGTGATTTGGAAAAAGGCAAAGATGTCTTCTCTTACCAGTGTCATACAACATGTACTAAAGCACCTAGCCAGTGTAATAAGGCAAAAAAGAAATTAAAGGCATACAGATTGCAATGAAAAAGTAAAATTGTCTTTATTTACAGTTGGAGGATCATATAGGTAGCAAATCCTAAGCAGTTTTCAAAACTACAGAGAACTACGTTTAACAAGGATATAAAATCAATTATATTTCTGGATAGTAGCAATGAATAATGAGAAATTAGAATTAAAAACGTCATTTACGGTAACACCAAAAATATTATTTAGGGATCAATCTGACAAAAGGTGTATAAGACCTAAATGTTGGAAAGTTCAAAACATTAGGAAGTTCAATCATAATATGTTTTTGTTTGTCCTGCATAGGTCTCAGGATATTCCTTCAATATGAAGGCTCGTGTCATATACATACCGGAAAAATTTCAGATTATATTTTTCTCATGCCTCTCCCTCTATTCTATATTATTTTCCTCTTTCTGGAGTTCTTTCTGATTGACCTTCTCCATCTCTCTTAATTTATATTTTCTACCTTCCTACCTGTTGTTTCTGCATTATCTGTAATTTCCTCCGAACTCACTTGTCTTCCATAATACCCTCTAATCTGCTTTTTTTTTTTTTTTTTTTTTGAGACAGAGTCTCACTCTGTTGCCCTGGCTAGAGTGCCGTAGCATCAGCCTAGCTCACAGCAAACCTCAGACTCCTGGGCTCAAGCGATCCTTCTGCCTCAGCGTCCCGAGTAGCTGGGACTACAGGCATCACGCCACCATGCCCGGCTAATTTTTTCTATATATTTTTACTTGTCTGATTAATTTCTTTCTATTTTTGGTAGAGACAAGGTCTCGCTCTTGCTCAGGCTGGTTTTGAACTCCTGAGCTCAAACAGTCCGCCCGCCTCGGCCTCCCAAGAGTGCTAGGATTACAGGCGTGAGCCACCGCGGCCGGCCTCTAATCTGCTTTGTAACCTGTTCTAATATTCCTGTTTGTTGTATCCACAAGTGTCTGGAGGATTGTTTACTTCAGGTGTAAATTTTGAGTGTGAAATCATCTCTCATATTAACTAGAGTTTGATTTTGTTTTTAATTGTTGCTCGTGGTGTTTATTTGTTTATAGGAGGGCCCTAGGGCTTTTGACTGTCCTGGACTAGTATTTATGCTAATTTCCCTGTTTGGGGATCGTGTACCACACAAGTAGCTTAATTTCAGATGCCATGAGTGGGTTGTTTCTCGAAGTGACTTGTCCTACCTCCCAAATCCCAGCTGACAGTTTTGTTTCTTCATGATAGTAGAAAAAGTCAGTTTCTGTATACTTATAGCTTTGAGTTTTCTCACCATTTTTTGGAATTTGGAGATTCTCTTTTTTTCACAACTTGGAGATTTTCTTTTTTTCACTTCTGAACTTAGTTATATTTTAAATATTCTGTTTTGTCTAACATTTCCATATGTTTTTGATGAGGAAAAAGTGCTGCCTTTCAGCGTAGCATTCCATGTTTTGACATATTGCATATTTTTATTTGTTTTAGATCAGTTAGTTATAAACTTAGTTTGACTTGTTTATTTTTAGTATAATTTTTCTTTTTTCTCTGTAGAGTTAATCTTTCTGAGACTTTTTTTCCTGGATTGATGGTTTTTGTTTCCTTTCAGAATTATAGTATTTTTATAATAATTCAAAGAGTTTTGATGAAATATATTTGTTTATACAGGTAACAAAGAGCATTCCACTTTCAAAACTGAATTTATCTTTGAATGAATTGAGGAAAATTTTGAGTATATTTAAATTTTTATTTTGTAAAGATACACCATCCCAGAGGGTTCAGTTTATCCTTGGTACTGAAGATGATGATGAAGAACATATTCCCCATGATCTCTTCACGGAAATGGATGAACTATGTTATAGAGATGGAGAAGAATATGAGTGGAAAGAAACTGCCAGGTAATACTGCTGAGTCTCATTTTTTAATTTGCTTTACTTGATTTCTTTTTGTAACGAGAATATTAAATTGAAATTATGAGATATATCTGGTACTTTAAGCCAGTGAGCAGAAAATTTCCTGTCAATGTGTGGAAATTCTATCTTTAATATTTCTCTTTATTCTCAAATTTTTTCTTTCAGTAATCCTACACTTTAATATAATATAAAAGGGATTATGTTATTGTAGATTTTAATAAGTCTTTAAACAAATTTGAAAATCAAAATCTTATGTATTGTATGTTTAGAAGGGGAGTAGAGGTGAAAACTACCTGAAATTCCATAGTTTTCTTTAAGGCTTAGTATTATGACAGCTAGAATAGAAAGAGGAACTATAGAGGACACTCGTGACTGTAGATATTGCAGACAATTTTCCCAATTTGTGAAAATGTGTTTGTAATCATATTTTGTTTTGGTGATAGTTTTCTTTTTAAAAGAGCAAGTTTATGTTTATCACATTAAGATAAATAAATGCAATCTTCATTATTTATAAAATATCTTTATATATTATACATACAGATGGCTGAAATTTGAAGAGGATGTTGAAGATGGCGGTGACCGATGGAGTAAACCTTATGTGGCAACTCTTTCTTTGCATAGTCTTTTTGAGCTAAGGAGTTGCATCCTAAATGGAACAGTCATGCTGGATATGAGAGCAAGCACTCTAGATGAAATAGCAGGTTATAGTAAACTGACTTTTTAAAAAATATTTAAGATGTTCTAAAATTAGAGATAATTAAATAAAGAAAGTAGAATTTAGATATTCATCTAACAACTGTATGTTGAACTTCTATGCAGGGCAGTATGAGGAATAGATATATAAATAAAATAGACTTTTGGTCTTTGATAAGTTTGGAGACTAGAAGGTTAAATGAAATAGACATAACTGTAGTATCAAGAGGAGAATGACTGGTGCCGTAAGCAAATATGGAGTCTGTTCTCTGAAAATTCAGAGAAAAGAGTTTTTGTTTCTTTGTTTTTTGGACCAGGTATCTGGGGAAGATCCACAGAAGAAGTTAATTGTACAACTTATTCATAGAACAGGGTTGGAAAACCTTTTCATGTTGGAAGGCCGCATTAATTTAGCTGTAATCAAATAAGGTCACATTCAAGAAACTTTAATTAGATATACTTAAAAATGTACATTATTTTGTAAAATCTAACTACTAAGTGCTTAGTAATTTCAAAAAATGAAAACTATTTGTTAAAGTTAACTAACCTTTTAATGACTTTGTTGTGTCTGCTTTTTGTTGGAAAGCATTTGAATATTTGGTTGCAACATGGAGGTCCGCAGTTTCAGTCGATCCTCCAGATGGGTATCAGTGATTTGTGACCTTAAGGGTGTGTTGATTTGGGTTAGGTAGGAGAATGTAGATTCACAGCGGTAAGTGGTTGAAAAGCAAGAAAGCATTTTTCGGGTATGTTTCTGAAGGCGTGGGTATTCTACTGCATTTTCCATATTTCAGTGGGATCTTTCTTAGCATCAATGACTTTAAAATGTCATCTACTGAGAGCTCAATCAATTCCATCTGTAGTTCTTTAGGTGCCTCAGTGATACAACTAGGTGAGGCCGAAATGCTAATTTGAGTGTGATGTCATGATTCTCAAAGTTAGTGAACCTTTCATTGTATTCTTCAATTCGTAGGTCTATAACAACTACATATTCTTAATTGATTTCCATATATCATCCTGCTCATCAGTGACTTTTGCTAACTGTGGAATATGTTCATCCAAAATTTCCTTTTAAAGAATTGTTTTGAAAAAAGATAGTTTTTTCTGAAATGCTCTTTTTTTTTTTTTTTTGCCTCAGATCATGTATGGACTTAGTTTTACCTTGCAAAGAAATATTCAAGTCGTTTTAATTAGACATGGTATCACCGAGAAATGCTGCATTTCTATAGAAATCTTCTCTCAATAATTCACATTGTTGATTTGGTTTTTCATAAAATTTAAGTATCTGTTCTCACAGAGGTAAAATTTTGGCTAACACTTGTCTCTGCATTAGCCAACACACTTTGGAATGATAGGGCAAATCTGCACTGAATACCTCATTGTTCAACTTTAACGTGTTACTAAACCAAGGATGCTGTCTGTGTTGCCTTTGCATGAATATAGTTGACAAAACTTGTTGCAAAGTGTCATTTAAAATAGTAGCTTTAGCACAGAGATTTTGCTGATGCAAGATACAATGAAAAGAAATGAGAGCATCTGGATCTGTTAATACATTTTTTTGTCTGTGCAATAAACCCTTCATGTTTTCCTGTCATGGAAGGTGCACTGTCTGTACATACACTCACTAAATTTACCAAATTCGGTGCAACTTCACAACATTTATCTTGAAAGTTGTTGGAAGATATCTATTCCCTGTGTTCTGTTCATAAGAGTGCCCAAAGTGAGTGACTCTTTGTAGCAAAGAAAATCTTCTGCTATAACCTGAGTGAAGTATAAAACCTGCACCAAGTCAGTAGTATCAGTTGATTCATCCACTGTAATTAAGTAATATATATTTTCCTTTTGAACTATTGCATGTGTTCTGTTAAGTTGGAGGCTAATTCATGTTGCCACTCAGTTAAGGTTCTCCTTGTTTGTACTTTGAAACGTTATTGCATCCTACAACTTCAACAGCACATTCTTTTACAATTTCTACATCACTGAATGGCTTCCCTTTTTTCCCTGAGTACATAAGCTAATTTATAAGTTGCTTCAGTGGCATTATTTTCAGGTCTTATTGCAAAGAATTGTCTTTGCTTTTGCTTTTCTTCTTTTAATTTCTGCAATACAACCTTTTGCGCTTCTCCCTCTAATTTAAGATATTTGTGTTCCTTAGGAATACTGTAATGCTTATGAGCATTGAATTTCTTTACTGTTGATATTGCAGTATCACAAAGCAAGCAGATCATCTTGTCTTTAGCAGAAACAAGATAATATTGCAATCCCCAATCCTCATTAGAAAATCTGTTTTCTTCCTTTAGTGTTCTGTTGGTCTCCTTTGACATGATGAGCTGTTAAGCAGACAGAATTGAAAAATACTGTCGAGCTGTGCAACTATTCACAAATTCCACTTGAGACAGAAACATAGTGCACCATTGTCAAAAACTGATAATACGGGAGGCTGAGGCAGAAGGATTGCTTGAGCCCAGGAGTTTGAGGTTGCTGTGAGCTAGGATGACGCCACGGCACTCTAGCCCGGGCAACACAGTGAGACTCTGTCTCAAAAAAAAAAACAACTGATAATAGACTGGCATACTCGACCCCCATAAACTCTTGCCAACCAGCCTCATGTGGTAGTGGCACCAAGGAGATGGGGGAAATTAGCACTAAATCATGAATGTAGCAGCTGTGAATTTAGCCCTTATGGGGCTAATTGAGTTCTAATTGTGCTGGTGAATCTGGGAGGATTATTTCTTTGAAACTTATTTTATTCTTTGATATTTTAAGTGCATTCATTTTAAAAATAAAAATATAAAAGATGAACAAAACCATATTAATAAAAATAAAAGGATTTGTTCTGTAGAATTTGGATTCAGTCAAAAGACCACACTTAAGGGCCTAGCAGGCCACATGTAGCCTTTAGGTTTCAGGTTCCCCACCCCTGATAGAATTTGAACATGTGGGGACAAGGAGCAGGTGGTACAAAAGAAAAGAAAGTATTTTGAGGAGGATAAAGAGCAGGAAGAAAAGTCTAGAGAAGTATAGGCAGGTATGCATCACAGGAAATCAATTTCATGTATGTATACAGATTTCTTCAATAGTAGTAGAAGATGTGTTGGGAAAACAGGTTAGGGATTGGTTGTGACTTACCTTGAATTACTGGATTAAGAAATTGGATCTTATTTAGTAGGCATTTTGGCAGTCTTGATGGTTCTTAAGTTGGGGGGAAAGTATGATCTGAGCTCATTTTTAGGAAGATCATTCTGGCAACAGAATGTAGGATAGCTTTGGAGTAGGAAGAGGCTAGAAGCAAGTTAGACCAGCTATTCTCTTGAAATAGTCTAAGCAAGAAGTGATGATAGACATGATAATGGATGACAGATATAATAATGAAAATGAAGGAGAGATTTGAAGGATAATGTGGAGATAGAAAATGGAAAAAGGCATCTATGACATAGCTTTTTGGCCACCAACTAAAATTGCTCAAAACCAAAATCAAATTTAGTTGTAACGAATTCGATATTGTGACTATCATTGTACGTTGCTCTGATGGAAAAACAAAAAATCTGTAGTATTTGATCTTCAAGAGAACCATGAATTTATTAGAACATCTCAGGCTAGAAATCCTTCAATTTTACCTGATTGTTAGATTCGACTGTGTACTGCAAATATTTAAATTGTCAGAGTCCTTACCTTCTTGTCTTTATACGAATGACTGAAAAATTGAGTTAGGGTTGGGAATAGTGAATTTATGGGTCTTACTTTGGCTTTGCAATTACCATGTAATGCAGTATAGTAACTTTTAGTAAATGTATAACCCAGTGTTCACGTATTTGGTAAACTGTAATTGTATTAATGTTATAGTTTACTGGTTAGGTTGATCATTCAGTTTTTTTTATAGAATAATCTTATTATAGTTTTTGAAAATTTGACTCTCTTCTCTCAAGTTAGCACCACTGTTTTTAAAATATACATATTTTATAAATTAAAAATAGTCCAGCCACTGCAATAATGTATAAAATGGCATTGCCATCCATCTCCCCATTCCCCACACCTCCCTCAAAGCCTGATTTATTCCTCCTCCTAGAACTTACTACCTCATGATATCTTATCTGTTTATTTGCCCATTGGTGTGTCTACCTCTGGAAGAAAGCAGAAAGTTGCTGTGTTTTCTTAACTGCTGTATTCCCAACACATAACAGGCACTCAGTAAATAGTTAATCACTAAATGACTGGGTCCAGATTATTCATTTACTGGAACAATTTTTGGGGAAAATATGAGGTGAGGCAATAAAATACTTTCACATCGTAGAAAGCCAATATTATTGAATATTCAGTTTAATAGAACTTATTGCATCCATCTAGGAAAGCACTTTCAGCTATAGGATGACTATTACTGTAAATAATAGTAAGCTCTTTATAAGTATTTATATTTATTAAAATAAGGGTCTCTTTAATTTTTTCATTTTGTTAGATGGATAATGTTCATATTTATCTTGGTGCATTGATTATTTACTATTAAAAGAGAGTAATAATACTTTGTAGAGCTGTTTAAGATTATGATTTTTGTTAAGAGGTTTTACTTACAGTTTATTCCTGTATTATAGTTATCTAAGTATTTAATAACAATAACTTATTTTTTTCCTTTGAATAGATATGGTATTAGACAACATGATAGCCTCTGGCCAATTAGATGAATCCATACGAGAGAATGTCAGAGAAGCTCTTCTGAAGAGACATCATCATCAGAACGAAAAAAGATTCACCAGTCGGATTCCCCTTGTTCGATCTTTTGCAGATATAGGCAAGAAACATTCTGACCCTCACTTGCTTGAAAGGAATGGTGAGATAAGTTGTGGCATCCAATTTTTGCTAACACTTCTTCTATAACAGCATTCCAGGATGTTACAATTAACATTTGGGAATATTTAAACACTATCACTAAGCCTAACCCTCTATTACATCTCCTTCCTGCTTTTTTGTTTCTAGTCAAGGTTTCTTGTTATGTAACTGATTAACGAAGCATAAATTATGATCTATAATTTCACTCTAATCATTTTAATTATAAATCTTGGATGTGAACTTTTACATTAGATTTTTCCAGATGATTTTCTTGTCTCCTGAATATACTTTACTGGGTATACACAAGTGTTTTTGGGTTGGTTTGCTGATTTCACTGCTCTTTATGCTATTTGTGAAAGGTTCTTAAGACTGTTCCTATCTTACACTAAGGGTGATCTAGTCGGTATCTTCCAAGCCATTAAGAATGGCTCAGACCCAGGTCCACATATTCCAGCTTTCCACTCTCATGCACAGGCCAGCAGCAGGTTGTGTGGGACATGGGAAGACAGTGTTTTTTAAGCTCTTTACCTCTGTCAGTGTCCTACGGCTGGCACACCTGGAGGTTTTGCCTCTCCCTATTTTCATCTGCCTAAAGCAGAGGAATATAGCACTAGGCTTGAGAACTCTGATAAAAACCCAGGTGCAAAGGGTTGGAGTAGTTTATGAGGGCCACTATTGCCTCTAGCAGTTTCCCCCAGCTCCTACTGTTACCCAAAGCTTATGAGGATTACAGCAACGAGGAGCGGGGTATGGGACACAATGTCTGCTCATCTTTTTTATCCCTGAAATAATAGTATGGCTTTTAAGTGTTCTACCTGCAAATACGCATAGGTGACAGGGTTTAATACATCTAAAGTTGATAGCAATCATCTTTTGTAGCTCAATGTGACATATTTAATTTGATCATTTGACCATTAAAACTCTTTTTAATCTGTTTAAAATTATGCCTTGGCATATTTAAGGACTCTTAAGAATAAAAGAACGTCTCTTATGGACTGAAGTTCAATTGAAAAGCAAGCCGTATGTGGCACATTTTACCTCTCTTTTTCATCTTTTATTTATTGTATATTCTCTGTTTTGGTGAAATGAGTTCATTTGTGCAAAGGGACTCTGTTAAATTTTTATTCCTCATATGCAGTGGTTCCTGATTTTTTTCTAGTTGTAATTTGTTTCCTTTTAATCATAGATAATGGCTATTTTAAATGCCATTTTATTATGTTATTTTGTTGAAATATAGTAATTTAACAGTTTTTCTGCATGTGGCTAATTTTTTAACTAAATGGTGTTTTTTTAATGGTTAATTTTTATTTTTAATATTTCTGAAATCTCGAGTGTGTAGATTTGATTACTTAGGCCATATGTAATTAATTGTTGTATTTCTCGTGTTTTTCATAAAGAAATGTTATTGTAAGCTACACTTAATAGAAATATCAGATGCTTTAAAGTGTAAGTATGCATGACCTTTTGAAATATTCTAGACTCACTACCTTATTGCTGTTGTTGGTGAGAAATGCTTTATTCTAGTTATATCAAAGATTATATGTATTTGATTAAATTTATCTGCTATGTTAGAAATCAGTATACTTTAGGGCATTTATTAATATCTTTACAGAGCTCAAGAATATGTATTCTTTAAAATTGACATTGTTTCTCTTTTTAAAAACATTTCTATAATTTGTCTTATGTGTTTAAACTTTACTTAGAATACTGCCAATAGATGGTGTCTTATTGACTTAATGTTATAAATATTTAATATCAATCTTAAGTTAGAAATTATTAGGTAATGTTAATGTGGGCTTTTCCTGTGAGAGATCTGTAGCTGTTTGGTAAAATGTAGGACAAATACATTAAGTATAACCTATCAGTTGCTGTTAATTTTTGGTTTGGTTTCTATTTCCTAGATTTTTTTTTATTACATATTCTCTTTTGCTATTTAAGCAGCAACTTTGTGTTGATATTGTCCTTTTTAAAAAATGCTACACTAACTGTTGGTCATTCTAATTTCTAACAGGGATATTTTGCTCCTCTCCACCCCTGCCATATGTCCATCTGTCTTTAACATTGATTTTTTTTGTTGGTTGGTTTTGGTTATACCTTCAGGGAACTAATTACAGTTTGAGCAACTTTTCAGTGACTTTCTAACGTTTAAAAACTTGATTGACATGCTAACCCTTACAGCATGAGTTTCAAATTTTGGGCCTTTAAAGCATGCAATTAATTTACAGTGTATATTGATTTTTTTTTGTCTCTATCTGCCTTCTTCAGTGAACTTCATCATTTTTCATTTATTTGTTTTATCTCAGGGGAAGGCCTTTCAGCCTCCCGTCACTCTTTGCGAACAGGTCTATCTGCCTCAAACCTTTCATTGAGAGGAGAATCGCCTTTATCTCTTCTTCTCAGTCATCTTCTTCCTTCTTCAAGAGCTGGAACCCCTGCAGGCTCGAGGTGTACAACCCCAGTACCCACCCCTCAAAACAGTCCTCCTTCCAGCCCTAGCACCAGTCGCCTGGCCTCCAGAAGTTCCCAACAGAGTCAGCTTCAGGCCCCAGAACTACTGGTTTCACCTGCCAGTGATGATATTCCCACAGTAGTAATTCATCCGCCTGAGGAAGACTTAGAAGCACTGAAAGGCCAGGACCAGAAGAATGAGGAAAATGTTGACTTAATTCCAGGCAACTATCCAAAATCCTCCATGTGTGGTGCTTTCTGCCTCTGGATCACTTGCACTTGGAATGCCTTTCAGCACATAGCTTGAGCAGCATATAGATAATGCTTATAATTTATTTTGACTTCTGCATGTTTTTTTTCTTTATAGTATTTTTTTTTTTTGGCTTAAAATAATAATTTTTAATTTTTTTTCATGTATCTGTGGGTCTGCTGGATTTCAGCTGATTAGGTTATGCCCATTAGTGGCCATGACAAGCATATGTATAGAGGGGTATTGGGAAAATTGGGACCACGATGCAATCTACCATAATTATCTACAATATGATGCCAATAAATTTTATGATATAGAATAGACAAATCACTTGAAACACACAAGCAAAAACTGAAATGAGAAGAAATAATAAACAATATTCATATGCTATTAAAGAAATGGAATGTGAAATTAACTATTTTTTCACAAAGACAATTCCTGGAAAAGATGACTTTACTCCTGAACTTTTCCAAATATTTAAAGATGAAGTAACACAAACATTATGCAAACTCTTCCAGAAAATAGAATAAGATATCAAATGGCCCAGTTCATTTTTGAGGTTTGCATGACCTTGATAGTAAAATCTGAAAAGGACATTATAAGAAAAATTGCAGGCTGATATTTCTTATGAACATAGTTCAAAAACCCGAAACAACATTATAATAAATCAAATTCAACACTATATATAAGGAATAATATATCATGATCAATTTGATTTATGTCAGGAAACCTTGCAAAGATTAGTTTAACATTCAAAAATCAATAAATGTAGATCACAACATTAACAGAATAAAGAAAAATACCATATGGTTATCTCAATAGAGATTCCTATTAAAAATGAGCAAACTGTAAACAGAAGGGAATTTTCTTAATCTGAGAAAGTGTATCTTCCAAAAACCTTTGACTAACACCACATTCAATGTGGAAATACAATACTAAACTCTTTCCCCTTGAGTTTGCAAACAAATTGAAGGTGTTTGTTATACTTCTAATCCAGCATTGTCCTGAAGGCCCTTGCAGTGAAATAAAGTCAGACAAAGAAATAATATGCTCCAAGCTTAGACTGGAAAAAATAAAATAGTATTCACCAATGACATTGGAAGCACCAATATTATTTTTAAGTGTAGATTAAATACAATCCAAATTTTATGTATATATATGTATATATCACACAGTATAAATATATGTAACACACACATGCATACATGTTTTGTGTGTGGAAGAAATACAGACTTGACAAAGTAATAAAATCTATTTTGGAAAATAAAGGTGGGTGTTGACACGAGACTTCTAGGGGAAAGAAAAAGAAAAAAAGAGAACAATTACTGGTAACTAGACTTGACATAGCACATGTTTCCAAGGTATAATAATTAAAACAGTTCGTAATTTATAAGATGGAAAGATGTCCCAGATAGATTTTTGCATTTTAAAAAGTGCTATTTGCTTTTATTAAAAAAAGATATACAGTTTTGTCCCTGTAAGCACACTCACATGTATTAATTATTTTTTATACTATTTCTCATTTTAATTTTCCAGCTGTATTGGGGTATAATTGAAAAATAAGACTGTATGAATTTAAGGTGTAAAATGTAATGATTTGATATATATTCTGTAAAATAATTACCACAATCAAGTTAGTTAACACAGCGATCCTCAACCTTTTTGGCACCAGGGACCAGTTTCATGAAAGATAATTTTTCTACCTATGGGGAGAAGGTGCTGCGAAGGGGAGAGTGGCCCAGTCCTTAACAGACCATAGACCTGTGCTTGTCCACGGCCCAGGGTTTGGGGACCACAGAGTTAACACATATATCCTCTTGGCTTACCTAGTTACCCTTTGTCTTGTTTTGTGGTAAGAATATTTAAGCAAATTTCAAGTGTACGATTAAGTATTGCCAACTATAGTCACCAAGCTGTACATCAAAACTGCTTACAGTATTTTGGGAAGCAAGAATGGAAATGGATGGACAGATTCTATTTTTTTGTACTTTTCTGTGAAATGTTAAATTATTAAAAATTTAAATTATAAAAAGACTGTAAAGAATACTACACATACTTTAAGCCCTTTCAAAAATTTTCACTGAGATTTTAGAGGTTAAAGCATTTGAATGGTTCAGAAAAGCATAGAATTTTTTTATAGTTAATGTTTCCATTAGCCATGAATGTTTTTTTTAGAATGGTAGCTTTACTTCTTGTGTAGTTAACTCATAAGGTGAATGAACACATGTACATAAATGAGGTGATGTGCCTTTTTATCTATTTGGTGCTTTTCTCCAAAGAATGTAGTACATTTTAGCCTTTTTAAAAAAGTCATTAGAAAACTTCAATCTTTCCAGAGGCAAAATGAGAAGAAGAACATTGAATCCCTACTGCCTGGAATCATCATTATTTCAAGACTAGTATTTATATTTTGGATTGGAACTTAATTGTTGTTTATTTAATGCTGTATCTATCTTTAATCCAAATGTACTTTGAGGTTTTTAGGACCAGAGTTCCTATAGTTATGGCTAGAATATATTTTTATATATGAATTTGAAAAATTATTTCTTAGTGGATAAAAGGTTTATAACTTACTTCAGGGCTATAAATTATGACAATTTGGTTCTTCTTTATATATTGATTAAATGTACATTTATACACATATCTTTGTACCTAATTCTTATAAAATAAGTACGTTTTAGTGAATTTTTTATTCATATTTTAGCTAAACCTCATTGTGACATATATTAACACTAACTAGTGGTTTTAATCACTGAAGTATTAATCACATTTTTCCAAATTACTGATACTATCTAACACTTTAGTGGTAATTACTAACCTATTTAATGTGCATACCCATTTTTGTAAGTTAGGTGAGTATACTCAAATTTTCATAAAGTTAGAAAAGTTAACTTCCCCTGAGAAGTTATACAACTAGAAATTGACAGTCTCTAAATCCTCTGACTACAAATTCTTGTGTTTCCATCATTATATAAAAAATCTCTCTCTCTATTTCCTTTATCCAAACACACCAATTACATTTAATCGAAACTTATTGTAGTTGCAAAAAGGATATACTTTTAGAAGTACAAATGCAAGTTTTGTGGCTCAATCATCACATTAGTTATTATCATAGTTATAGCTACCATTGTTTTATCGTTGGTTCCAGACACAGTGATAGATGCTTTTCAAACATATTTCTAATTCCTGTGACAATTTGTTGACATTGATGTTATCCCTATTTTAAAAACAAATGAAGAAAAGATTAGAGATGTTGGAATCATACTGTAAATGACCAGAGAAGGGATTTGAACTCAGGTCTACTTACAAGAAATCTGCAGTTGAGTGGTTTCATTGTGAGTTTTACCAGTTCATGAAAATGATATAGCTTAATAATAAGGTAACTGAACATAAAGTAGGAAAAAAACCCCTGGAAATAATTATTCAGAAAAACCAGCACTGTTTTAATTAAAAAGAACTATCAAGACTTACTACTTTTCCTTAAACAAAAATGATTTTAAAGTTGCTTGTTTTAGGCCACGTTAAAGTGATAAAAGAAGCAATTAACTGTGAATCGAGGAATGCAAGTTTTTATTTTTTTTCCCATGAGTTATTTTTGCCATGAGATTTGTCAGCCTTTCTGAAGAGAAGAAATTAGAATGGAGGGAATTTCTAAAGACAGGAAAAAGCTCATAATTACTGTTTAAGAAGACATCTGTAGAAGATCATGTAATCGTTGAGGGAAAATAGTAGGGACAGCTATACATTATTCCCTGTTTAAATTCCTTGGTGCTTAAAGCACCTAGTAACTCTAGTGGAGTTTCCTTGAAGTCTGACGTTACCTTAGAGGAGGAAGGTAGCTCGGCATCACTTTGGAGAGACTACTGCTGTAGTTTTTTGTGTTGTCATGGAGTCATTATTTGTGCTTACCCATGATAAAAAAGAAAGTGGTGTTTCCCATTAGTCATTTGTTGGAGGATTATATATAAAAGAAGTGAATTTATTTTTAGTATTTGTAAATATCTTTTTTCTAAATCAGTGTTTCTCAGCCTCAGCACTGTTGACATTTTGGGATTGAATATTTCTTTGCTGGGTGGTTGGGTAGGAGGGAATAGTCCTGTGCTTTTTTAGAGTGTTTAGCAGCATACTTGGCCTCTACCCCACTAGCTGCCAGTAGCACCCCTCCCCCCAGTTGTGACAAACAAATATGTCTCCAGACATTGCCAGATGTCCCTTGGGGGCATAATCTTCCCTGGTGTGAACCACTGCTCTACGCACCTCTACTTTCAAACTTTTATTGTCAGAAGACTCTGATATCTTTGATTTATCTTTCTCTAGTTTGATTTGCTATTTGAGAAAAAAATGTAAGTGCAAAATAATAGATTTACTGGAGTATGATTTTTAAAATCCCATTGTTGATTTTATTTATATACATACTTGCATCTGCTTTTTCTTTTTCTTTTTTTTTTTTAATTGAGACGGGGTCTCAACCTGTTACCCAAGCTAGAATGCCATGGCATCATCATAGCTCACTGCAAATTCAAACTCCTGGGCTCAAGCTATCCTCCTGCCTCAGCCTCCAGAGTGGCTGGGACTACAGGCGCGTGCCACCAGGCCCAGCTAATGTTTTTTCTTTTTCTTAAAGCAAAATGATACAGTCCTTCTGAGCTGTCTGGGCTAATGATGGAGAGCTTTATTTTTTGGTGATTTACTCATTTAATTCTGATTGCTAGTAATTTATTGTAGGAATTTACTGATTGAGAAAACAGCTTTAATTTAGCTGAGGTTGGAAAGGACCTCACAGAGACAGTAATGTTACAGAACTCTAGCCTTCACCTGGCATGCCAATTTTGAAAAAGGGACAGGTTCAAGATGACCAGGTTAGTCAAGTGACTTCAGGTTATACCTTCCAGCTTTGTCAGCATTGAGTTCCACATCATTTCTTCTCAATGCTACTGTATCCTTACTTTTCCCCACAGCCTTCTCTTCATTTCACTCTTCTCCCTCAAATCTAGCAGTTTGGCCTATTCTGGAAAACTGCATTTTGTATTCTTTTGATTATACCCCCACAGGTTGAATGCATTTAGCTGTTGGAAAGATGCAATACTCAGTTGTAGTTGCTACCACAGCCTTAATGATACTTTTAATTTTCTTGCGTGGAGTTAGTTGGAAGCCACTGAAAAATACTGGTTAACTTTTTTTCCCCCTTGGGCAAGGAGAGGACTGTCTTCTGTAAGTTTAGGAACAAAGGCCAAAGAAGAAGAATCTCAGTAACTTTTCAGTCCTCGGCTAACTGTGAAAAATGAGTTAAGGCTTGGGAAGTAGTTTTTATTTCAGAATTGTTTAACTTTTCCAAAGGATGATCACAGGGCTGTTTAGATTACAAATTAAGATTTTTTGGGTTGCATTGACATCCCAGTTTAGGCAATTTAACAGAGAAGTGGCTATCACAGCAGTCTTCTGTCATTGAGTTTAAGCAATCAACCCAGATGACTTAGTTTCAGTATTCATTAGATGCATCAAGTATATCTGATGTGCTTAAAATTCTGAAAGTTGATTACCAAATTAACTTCAAAGTTTATAGGCTCTAATCACAAAACAGATTTTAACTGAATTTCTTTGGGTTACTAGATTGTTGAGTGGCACAGTTAAAACTAGAAGTAAAGTTTATTATATTTCAGTGCTTTTTTTCCTCCTATAATATTCAGTGTTTTAGGTATTATTCGTTGATATTCTTGGACTTGAAAATCTTTGACATTCTAAAAATATGAGATTCATTTAATAATAGATATCTGTGTAATATACTTAAATTTTTGAGTTTTGGGCTTTTTTGTAAAATTCATAATATTAATGATTGATCATATACTAAGTGATGTTTTTATTTAGGCTATTGTGAAATGTTGCTGTTGAATGTCACTTGAAGTGAATATACTAACGTTTGAACATATATCTATAATTTGTAATCCAAACAGCTATCTAATCCAAATAAGCTAGTTTTATGGCTTTGTCTGAATTTTAGAGATTCGAGTGAGTCACATAGATACAAAGTGACAGAGGGTGCATATTTTAATACAGATTCCTTTAATTATAAAACTCTTATTCTTTGCACTTACATTGTAAAAAAACTTGCTTATTGTATTTTAAAGTTATGTTTCTTAGCAGTAATGATACTAGGCATTATAGATGTAAATACTAACAAAGAGAAATGAAAATTCTTGAGGAACTGTTTTGATTATGGAAGATTATATTAATTCAACCTACATTTAGCTGGTATAGCTCTTAAACTTTTTGAGTTACACTTAGGGTTTGCAGAGAATTTAGTTGATGTTAGCATTTAATTGGTATAGTTAGGCATCATTAAGCTTTATGCAATTTACATGTATATAATATATTGAAAGTGTATTCTCTAAGTATTCATACTGACAATCAGATTAAGGTATTTCTTCCATCGTTTGTGGTTCCACACTGACTCACTTTTTTTTCGTTTTGCAAAAGGCCACCATTTTTGTAAATTCCAATTGTGTTATTTTAAATATTAAAATGTGTAGCTTTATTATTGCTTCAAATGTCATTCTGGTTTTGCTGGTATGTTACTAACACCTGGCACTGTTGTCTTTTTTTTTAACTCTACACATTTGCTTTTATAATCATCACTTTCAGGATATGAGCAGAGTCAGGTTGCAAAGAGAATTTTCTCCTTACTAATTTGGAATTTGTTCTTAAATACAGGTATTTTGGCCTCTCCACAGTCTGCTCCTGGAAACTTGGACAATAGTAAAAGTGGAGAAATTAAAGGTAATGGAAGTGGAGGAAGCAGAGAAAATAGTACTGTTGACTTCAGCAAGGTAATTCTATCATCAGCTATAAATTTCCACAATCATTACTATTGAGAAAATAAGTAGTAATTTGTGGCTTTGATTGTAATAATGTTTTATTAGACTGGTGCTTTCAAATGTGATGCCTGCGATATGTTAATTTAAGGTAAAAAATTGTGAGAAAGGTTATAGTTAACTTCTGAGTAGTTATTAACTTTATATGCTTACCAGTTTTAGAAATTATGAAAAAGAATATGTGAATAATATGGTATTTCCATCTATACCTACCCATAGATACCATGAAACTTTAGTATCTTTTGAACTACAATCATTTGTTCTGGAGCTACCACCACTAGAAAGATTAATCCTGGGAGTGATGTTATAGCACTAGCGATTCAGCCTTTCTTGGGCTATAATGTGATCCCAGAATTACTGTCTCGTGGTGTCAGTACTTTCTGGAATGCTACTGGGAAACATATCAGTGCTTCCCCATGGGTAGGTAAAGGCATGGATTAAAACCAAAAACCTATATCAACTATGATTTCTTTTATTTTGGTAGATGAGTATTTAGTTGAAATAGGAAAAAAAACTTTATTAGAGTTTAAATTACAACTGAATTTAAAGTGTACTTTATGAGTACTTCTTAAGAGCAATTGATTCTCTGTAGCCATTGTAATTTTTTAATATTGATTTGCTACAGGATGATATTCATGACATTTTAATATTTTTGCATCCTCTGTAAGACTTTTTATTAAATGCGGTTATGTCAAGCAAGATTCAGTTTCCTGAAGCCTTTTATTCTATGATGTAAAGCCTACAAGTCACATTTTACAGGAAAATAGTTTAAATGACTTGCATTACAGCTTTGCTGAGCTTAACACTCTAAAATTATGGAAAGCTAGCATTAGGGTCACTGGCTGTACAGAAAGACTGTTGTACTTTTATTTCTCATATTCTAACTTGGTCCTGTTTTTACTGGTAGTCCTGTTATTTTAGATTAGTGAAAAGTGTTGAGTAACTACATTGCAATTTATCTCTTGTTAATAAATAAATTAACATAATCTATGTTAAAGATCTCCTCTAGACATGGCAGTTGCCGCTATTTTTGTTCCTCTGTCACAGTTTTACTTTTTTTTACTTGGCCTATCTTTGTGTACACCTGCTTGTCTCCTGTTGGGCAGGAGTCTGCCTCCTGGCACTGTAGTTGTGGCACACTGGGTGTGGGACTCAAGAGGCCCGCTGTAAGTGCTGGTTTTATTTTTAATAGATAGCCCTGTAAGTGGTTGTTTAGTGACTTGTGTGAAACTGCGTATAAATGAAGAAGTTCATATACTTTGATATCATGTCTGTAACCTTTCCTTGTAATTATACACAGAAAACTAAATTTCATTACCGTATATCTATACCAATAAGGGCTGTTAATTTTAGTTTTAAATAAAAATAATGATTTTTGTACCACTTAATGAAAATACTGGGGAATGTCTAGAGTTTTTTTGGTTTTTTTTTTAAGGGGGACTTATTTTATTATATTAAGGGACTAATTCATTTCTAAGATTAAATAATAGAAAATCATAAAACGAATTTTTTTAGCACTGTGTATAATTTCATGAACAGTTGTTAGTTTGTGAACTATATATTTGTCCTTAATAGTTTTTAATGAATACTGCTATATTCATTGAAAATTTTCTCAAGTTTATGTTTGATAATTTAGATTTCTGAAATAGTAAAGATTGTGAGTTAAAATAGTAGTATTGATAAAAATGTGTTCTGCTTGCTTTTTTGTATTTGTCTACTCCATTCTTTATATTTGTGAAAATTTTGGCATTTATACATTCATTAGCTCACAAGTTTTGATTAGTGCATAGTAGCCTTAAAAAGCATTTTTTTCTTTCCTGTTTTCCTCAGAATAGTCTTATAAATACTACTTAAACTTTATTTTTAATTATTATTTGTTTGTTAATAGGTTGACATGAATTTCATGAGAAAAATTCCCACGGGAGCTGAGGCATCCAATGTCCTGGTAGGAGAAGTAGACTTCTTGGAAAGACCTATAATTGCGTTTGTGAGATTGGCTCCTGCTGTCCTCCTTACAGGGTTGACTGAGGTCCCTGTTCCAACCAGGTAAAGAGTTAGTTCCAGTTAACATTCTCTAATTTCATCTTCATTTTGCAAGGTCTGAGGAACAAAACCAAAAGAACATTCTCCTGGCATGTTCAAACCTAAAAAATTTTTACCCACTGAAAGAACCAGTGTGTTGCTTTATGTAATAAAAGCTCATTTTAATTGTTGATATTTAGTCATTGTACCAAATGCTTTGAATCTTAGTGCATGGAAGAGTTTTCTTCCTGGAATTAAAAAACATAAAATGAAATAAACATCATCTTTTTAAGACATACTTTCTTTGCTTTTGTACCTTCATAAAACATCTGGTTTTTCTTTAGTATAGTGGTGAGTTAAAAAAAGAAGTTTGGTATCTTAGGAAATTTGATTTAAAAAAACAGTATATCATTTTATATGTATTATCTAATATTCTGTGTAGGCAGTGCAGTCAGAGAATATGGAGTTGAATCCTTTCTCTGCCATTTACTTTTTATGGGGTTGGGATTAAGTAAAGGTTGACTTAAATTTTCTAAGTTTCATTTGTAAAATGAGGATAATCCTTCATAGGGTTGATTAAGTGTAATAATGCCTTTGAATTAGGCAAAATGCTTTGTTCTGGCCTGCCCAAAATTTTCTGTTCGGTATACATTATAAGTAAAAAGTTAAACTGGGAGTAATATCCATGACAATAATTAGTTGTGTTATAAATTAGCAGTCCCCAACCATTTTGGCACCGGGGGCCACCGGTTTCATGGAAGACAGTTTTTCCATGGACTGGGGGTTGGGGGATGGTTTTGGGATGATTCAAGTGCATTACATTTATTGTGCACTTTTATTTCTGTTATTATTACATTGTAATATATAATGAAATAATGATACAAACCTCTCTGCTAATGATAATCTGTATTTTCAGCGCTAGCATCACTGCCTCAGCTCCACCTCAGATTATCAGGCATTAGATCCTCATAAGGAGCACGTAACCTGGATCGGTCGTGTGTGCACTTTATAGTAGGGTTCACACTCCTATGAAAATTTGAAAATCTAATGCCACCGCCGATCTGACAGGAGGTGGAGCTCAGGCAGTGATGTGAGCGATGGGGCACAGCTGTAAATACAGATGAAGCTTCACTCACCTCCTGCTGTGCAGTCTGGTTCCTAACAGGCCACTGACCAATGCCGGTCCACGGCCCAGGGTTTGGGGACTGCGGTTACAAAGGATAATCAGTTTGTTAGCTATTGACTATAGAAACTTAATTGTAAATGAAACTAATTTTTTAAAATGTTTTTTTCTTATTATTTTTATAATATAAGTAAATATGAAGAATTAATAATGCTTGATGGAAATATACTTACTTATTTTTAATTTATCTTAGTTGCATTAATGATCCAATGTTAAGTGAGAAAAATAATTCCATGGTTCATGTGTAAATTCTCATAAAGTAGGAGGATAAATGTGAATATAAATATTTTGTTGTAGTGTTAACTGGGATATAGCCAAGTAGGAAGTTAAATATTTTTTATTTAGTCACTAGGATAATATGAGGTCTGATGTTAAATTTGGAGTTGTAAATAAAAATTCTTTTTCCTTTCAAAGAGGATTAGTTGACTAAAATCCCATATTTACAACACTAGAGTTTTTATCCAGAACTGTAATTTGAGGGGTTGTGGATTTTTTTGTGTATACTCCTGTTTTATTTGGCAGATCTTACTTTCAAGTACTTGATGGGATTGTTATTCACTTTATTTACTAATTTACATTTTTTTCAACCCAGACCAGATTTATTTGTTCAATCCAAAAGGATATAGAAGATGGGAACTTTTAATGTACAACATTTAATATCTTAATTACTGTTTGCCCTAAGGAAGATGTACAGTGATCTCTTGGTAGAAAGTTAATTATGAATGCCTTTTTTGGTCTTACGATCTGCATTTGTCTGAGTGGAGTTGTCATCTTTTTTCAGTGATCGATGTGGAGGAATGGATGAGAGGTCTGAGTGTTATTTCTGTGTTACATTTGAATGATTTTTTTTTTATGATTGCCTAGATTTGTATATGTTGTTTGTTTATTTTTAAATCTATGTGTTTCCTTAGGTTTTTGTTTCTATTATTGGGTCCAGCAGGCAAGGCACCACAATACCATGAAATTGGAAGATCAATAGCCACTCTGATGACAGATGAGGTAATTAAAATATGCTAAAATCCCTTTGAAGCAGACACTGATTAGGAAGCATATATTATATATTAAATTGCAGTTCTCCTTTCATAGTGAAATTTAAAAAAACTGTCCTTTCTGTCTATACTGTTTTTTCTCATATTTAGGCTTAACTATTTGCCTTTCGTAAAGTCATCAAGACCTTTTTATCAGGATCAGTGGGTACTTTTTAATCTTTTTTTGTTTTAAGCATTTGAAATTATTGACTACCTTCTTAATATTTTGAAATATTTTTCATCATTTCCATCCATATAAGCATATCATCTCTTTCGATTTTTCTCAGAAATTTTTTTGCTTATAAATTTCTCTCTCCCATTTGGGGACCTTATCTGTGACCATGGCATCAGTGACTTCCTATGATATATTTAGATTTAAATGTAAACTCTTTACCATTGTCTTAACAGGTCCTACCTGAGCTAGTCTTTGCATACTTCTCAAAGCTTACGTCCTAATACTACTCACCCCTCCTCCCTCATTTTCCTCCTGCCAAAGTAGTTTCCTTTTTGTTCCTCAGATGTGTTATGCTCATTTCTGCCTCTGGACATTTAAAATTGCTAATGCTTCTGCCTGAGCTCTTTCTCAGCCACCCTAACCCACCCTGCCTTTGTATGGTTTTGTCCTTCATTTTGTTCAGATTTCTCCTACAGTATTACCTCCTCTCAGAGTACTTTTCCTGGCCACTTTATTCTTCCCCTTCAGCTTCCTTTCTGTACCCTGCTTTATTTTTATCAAAATATATATCATTGCCTACAATTATGTATTTATTTAATTACTTGTTTTGCTATCTGTTCCCCTGGAACAAAAAGTTCTTGAGTATAGGGACTTTGCCTTAACCGTCTCCATTGCCCTATCCACAGTGCTTAGCATTGTGTCTAACAAGTAGTAGGTGACCAGTAAATATTTGTCATTAAATAAATTATTTAAGTAAAATTGTTTGCATAAGCCATGATTATTTTCTTGGAATAAATGACATTTAAATGTCACAGAAGTAGAATGACATGCCACAGTATTTTATTCCCTAATGAATTACTGAATGAATTTCCCATGCATAAGTTTCTTTTTTTAAAATTGTTTTGCCTTAACACATCACTATTTTCTTTCGTTGTTTGTTATTGTTAACAAATAAATAGTGGGTTACGTTTTATAGTTGTTACTCAGGGTAGGGTGAATACCTGCCTAGGCGAAGAGTTTAGGTAATTTTCTTTATCATAAATAAGATTCATGGTATCAAAAGTGAATTTACTATGTCTAGAATGTTCTTTCAACTTTAAAGTCTTTTTGCTCAATATGTTTCTTTCTTTAGATATTTCATGATGTAGCTTATAAAGCAAAAGACAGAAATGACCTCTTATCTGGAATTGATGAATTTTTAGATCAAGTAACTGTCCTACCTCCAGGAGAGTGGGATCCTTCTATACGCATAGAGCCACCAAAAAGTGTTCCTTCCCAGGTAAGAATCCAGAGCTGCTGTTCTGTGAGTTTTTTTTAATTAAAAAATTTTTTAATAGGTTATAAATTTTTATGATTCAGAAATTAAAATTATATAACGCTCAGAGAAGTTGTATCCCCACTGTGTCCCCTTTACTGTCTTGGCCATATACCCACTTTCTGTGGGTAACGATTTGTGATTAGTTTTTTATTTATCCTTCTAGTTTTCATTCAGTACATGGAAATATGAACATGTATTGTAGTCTTATTTATTCCTCTTACCAAAAGTTAATATTCTATATATACTGATCTACACCTTGCTTTTTTCATATAACAATATATACTGGAGATTTGCTCGTAAGAAATCATGGAAATAGTCCTTGCTCTTTTTTCATAGTTGTATTATATTCCATTTATGGTTGTAGCATAGTTTATCCTATTCCTGGGCTCTGGTTGTTTTCAGTCTTTTGCTGTTATGAATCATTTCATGGTACTCATGTGCCATTTTAGTCTTGTGCAGATGTATCTGCACAGAAATAGGATTGCTGGCTCAGAGGGGAATTTACCAGAGTTCCATTGACTTGAACTGTTTGGACTCTCACAATGGTATATGAGAGTGTCTATTTCCCTACATCCTCACTAACAGTATGTTGCCAAGCTTTTGGGTATCTGTCAGTCTGATAGGTAGCTTTATGTTGCTATTTCAAGCATTTTAACAGGGTTTTAATTTGTATTTCTGTAATTAATGAGGTTGAATATTCCTGATTATCTTTTGTTCATTGCCCTCTACCATCTTTTTTTTTATATTTAAATCATTCATTGATCCTTTGGGGTTTATCATGGTGTATGTGAGTAGGCAACCAACTTTATCTTTTTTCTAAATTGCTGCCTGATTGTCCCAGTTCATTAAAGTGTTAAACATTGCTCCCCTTGATTGGTGATATTGCCTTTATCATTAACTAAATTTTCATCTGCATAGAGCTCTGTTTCTGGAATTTCTTTTATTTTTCATTGGTCTATCTATTCATAGACCAATTCTGTACTCCTGAATTTTTGAGGCTTTTTGGTATGTTTTAATATTTGGTAGGTCTAGATTTGTTCTTGCTTTCTTTCTTACTCTCATTTTTCTGAGTTTCCTTGGCTATATTCACATGTTTATTTTTCTATCTAAACTTTAAAATTAGCTTTATACTTCTAGAAATAAAATCTGATGGTTTTTTTTTTTTTTTTTTTTGAGACAGAGTCTTGCTCTGTTGCCTTGGCTAGAGTGAGTGCTGTGGCGTTAGCCTAGCTCACAGCAACCTCAAACTCCTGGGCTCAAGCGATCCTACTTCCTCAGCCTTCTGAGTAGCTGGGACTACAGGCATGCGCCACCATGCCCGGCTAATTTTTTCTATATATTTTTAGTTGTCCAGATAATTTCTTTCTATTTTTTTTAGTAGAGACGGGGGTCTCACTCTTGCTCAGGCTGGTCTCGAACTCCTGAGCTCAAACAACCCCCCGCCTCGGCCTCCCAGAGTGCTAGGATTACAGGCATGAGCCACCGTGCCCGGCCCTGATGGTTTTTAAAAGGTTGTGATGACGAATAAATTTCTCAGTGAACTGAGAGAGAATTGACATCTTTATGACATTGACTCTTTGTAGTCAAGAATGTGATATGTCTCTCTCCCGCTGATTTTCTGTTTCAAGTTGGTTTTTGTATCCTTAAGGAATGTCATCAAGTTTTCTTTATCTATAATTTATATGCTTCTTGATGTATCTTTGTTTATTTGTTGCTTGTACATGTATATGAAGACTATTTTTTATATATATGGGTGACCCTTGAGCAACACGGGTTTTAACTGTACAGGTCCAATTATATGCAGATTTTTTTCAATAAATATATTGGAAAAATTTTTGGAGATCTGCAACAACTTGAAAAAACTCTTAGACGAACTGCATAGCCTAGAAATGATTTAGAAATTAAGAAAAAAATATGTAATGAATGCATAAAATATATAGAGATTCTAGTTTATTTTATCATTTATTCTCATAAAATATACACAAATCTATTATAAAAATATAAAACTTATAAAAATTTATGCACACAAACACAAGTGATATTATACATGGCCACCATTCGCAGAGAGAAATGTAAACAAGTGTAAACATGTAGTATTAAATCATAATTGCATAAAATTAACTATAGTACTTACTATATTACTGTAATAATTTTGTAGCCACCTCTTGTTGCCATTATGGTGAGCTTAGGTGTTTTGAGTATCTGCTTAAAACACCAATTATCTGCTTAAAACACTGTTTTAATTATCTCCACATGAGCAGTTGGTCTCTCTAGTAAATTGCACATCGAAGTAAAAAGTGATCTCTCATGGTTCTTGTGTATTTTTCATTGTGTTTAGTGCAGTATCATAAACCTTGAATAACACTATAGGATCCATATGAAGTGCTGCAGTTGATGTTGGAAGTGCTCCCAGGAAGCAGAGAAAACTCATGATTTTATAAGAAAAAGTTAAATTGCTTGGTAGACGTTATGGATTGAGGTCTGCAGCTGGAGTTGTCTGCCGTGTCAAGATAAATGAATCCAGCCTAAGGACTGTTGTGAAAAAGAAAAGGAGACCGGGTGCGGTGGCTCATGCCTGTAATCCCAGCACTTTGGCAGGCTGAGGTGGGAGGATTGCTTGAACCTAGACTAGCCTAGACAACGTATGGAGACCCTGTGTCAAAAAGAAAAAATAAAAAAAGAAAAAGGAAATTCACGAAGCCATTTGTGTAGCTGTGCCAGCAGGTGTGAAACCTTGCACTTTTTCAAAATACCTTTTTATCTTGTATTGAAAATGCAGCTTTTATGAGGGTGCAGGATTGCTATAAGAGAGGCATACCTATATATTAATATGATTCAAGAAAAAGCAAACTCATTATATGACAACTTAAAGCAAAAGGAAGGTGAAGGATCTGAAACTGGAGAATTTAATGCTAGCAAAGGATAGTTTGATAATTTTAGAGAGGAATTTGGCTTAAAATGTATCAAGATAAAAGAGAAGCAGCTTCTGCTGACCAAGAGGCAGCAGATGGGTTCCCAGACCAGACACCATTAAGAAAATCATTGAGGGAGAAAGGATATCTGCCCAAACAGGATTTTAATGCAGATGAAAGTGCCCAATTTTGGAAAAAAATGCCACAAAGGACATTTATTAGTAAGGAAGAGAAGCGAGCAAGGATTTAAGGCAGGAAGGGATAGGCCAACTCTTCTGGTTTGTGCAAATGTATTCGGGTTTATGATCAGGACTGCCCTTACCTGTAAAGTGCTTACCCCTTATCCTTTTTTTTTTTTTTTTTTGAGACAGAGTCTCACTGTGTTGCCCGGGCTAGAGTGCCGTGGCGTCAGCCTAGCTCACAGCAACCTCAAACTCCT